TCTGCTGTTTTCCCCCCTGTGGGTGTTACTAGTGAGGGGCACGTGCAATGAGGTGCATGCTGAGTGCACACAACACTGAGAGCCCCCGGCTCCTTCTGCAGCCAATCAGCCTGCTGCTTCGGTTCGATCGGTGCCCTGCAAATGCTGGGTGTGCAAGTGCAGTTAGTGAAACGACCCAGTCCCGGGAGACTGGCTTGGTTACTACTATCCTGTAGCCCCCTGAGACAAAAGAGGGCCAGTCATGCTGCCCCTCACAAGGCAAAGTTGGCCTTCACTGGCCTAAACAAAATACAGGACTATGCTGCGCTTTAAAGACTAACAAGATGGTTTATTAGGTGATGAGCTTTCATGGGCCAGACCCACTTATTAGCTCATCACCTAATAAACCATCTTGTTAGTCTCTAAAGTGCTACATAGTCCTGTTTTTTGTTTCAGCTACACCAGACTAACACGGCTACATTTCCATCACTCTTCTCACTGGCCTAGACCATCTAAACTAAAGCAATGTTGTAATGTCTTTGCACTGCTGCCTTCATGGCTCTCTTAGCAGCAGGGGAGAGGTTTGCTGTGGTTCCTTCCATAACTTCTCTGTAATGGGGCTCTGAGGCACTTTCCTTGGGGGAATGCAGTTTATATTAGTGATATGCTTGAGTACAGTCTGTTGTCAGGGCCCCACGGTCCTGGTCCTAACCAATTGGCAGCCCTGGGCGACCACCTAGCTTGCCCATAGGGTTGCCAGATGGTTTAAAAAATATACCAGACAAAAATTTGTTGAGGAAAAAAAAAAGGGGGGGGGAGGTCGGGGAGTAACCAGGGGCATTCGGGAGGTCAGGCCAAAATGTGGTCTTCCTGAAAATGGCAGCCCTGGGCAACACCCAGCTCACCCACCCCTAAGACTGGCTCTGTCTGTTGTGGTGGGGTTGCCAGGAGTCCAGTTTTTGACTGGAACACCCACTCTGGTGGCTCCTGTCAGCACTGCTGATGGGTGGGCATTAAAAGTCTGGTTGGCAGAGCAGGCAGGCTCTGTAGCTGGTTCCATGGTGGTCCCAGGAGTTGCTGGGCAGCTTCCTCTGGGTCTTAGGTGGAGGGATAGCTCAGGGGGCTCCACGCACTGCCTCCAGCGCCAGCTCAGCAGCTCCCATTGGCTAGTAACCATGGCCAATGAGAGCTGAGAGGGTGTTGCCTGCAGGTTTGGACAGTATGCAGAACCATGTGGTTCTGTCTCAGTGCAGGAGCTGGAGAGAGATGCCAGCAGCTTCCCTGGACCACCTGAGAACACTGCCAAGAACTCCCTCCCCAGCCCCTTCCTGCACCCCAAACCATAGCCCCACCCCAGAGCATGCACCTCCAGCTCCTCACCC